TTATTTTTATGTATACAAAATAGTAATATTAAATCTATAGCTATAAATAGATTTTGTTATAGTTAAATATATTATATAAAAAACTATATATATAGTTAAATATTATATTATTTTTATTATATTATTTTTCTTCTGTATTGTTTTCTAAATAATATATCTCTATTAATATAATATTACTTAAGATTTTAATCTAATTATTTTTATTATCTAGCTTAACTTTGCTTTATTTTATTTATAATATATATAACTAATATTTATAACGCTAATAATAATAATAATAAAATAAAACTAAAAAGTTTTAAAATACTTATAAAGTTAATTATACTTAATAATAAATAGCTTTATATATATTTACTGTACTAACTAATTTTAATTGATATATTATAGATCTTTTAATTAATACATTAATGTAATATTAAAATATTAATATATTAAGATAACTTTAATTTATTTAAAACTAATATTATAAAGTTTGTTAACTAATTTTATTATTATCTCTTTTAGTAATTTAGTACACATTTTTATATAAATATCTTTTTTTAACTTTTGATAACATAAATAACATGGTTCATCAGTCAGCCGGACGTTTTTTTCTAAACACTCTTACGTCCAAATCACTTAAACCTTTGACGCGTAAAATCCAAAGAACCATAATGCTAATCTACACCTAAGAAGACAAAGTCATTCTCACGATTAAAGCGATCTAATCAACATGCGCTGCAGGTAATAACTTAAGCATTTCGCATGCTGCAAAGACCTACAGTATCCTAAAGAGCACCTTAGCCGATAGAATGAATAACTGACCGCGATGCGAATAAGCTTAACCCTAACGATATAAACTTAATCTAATCGAAGAGAAAACACTTCTCTAATACATTATTAAATAGGATTCTAGAGGATTTCCTTTCCACCTCAGCAGTGTGGAAGATATAGCTAATCTCCTGCTGTGAGCCTGTAATAGCAAGCCTGTTAGTAAGCGATAGGCTAGGCAGTTTATAGACTTACAGCCTGCTCTGAAAACTAAGTTAAATTATCTATATAATTATTAAAAGTCTCTTTAAGAAGATCCTGAGGTTATATCAAAGTGGTTTGCGCTATTATGCAACATAATAGCTAAATATAGCATCTTAGAGGGGGACCTATATAATTTTAATAAAACTGGCTTTATGATAGGCATAATTACTGTGTTAATAATAGTTATATATACTGATTAATATAGTAAAGTAAAGTCTGTCCAGCTTAGTAATTATAAATAGGCTATAGTTATTAAATATATTAATTTAGGTGGGTGGTATATCCCTCTGTTTATAATTGTTAAGGGTGCATATTATTTTGCTAGTTAGACTATGGAATTAGGTGTTCTAGGCAACTAGGTGATTAAACCTACTGCTAATAAATAGATAGATAAATAGATAGATCTTAACGGAATTAAACACTTTAATAAATATACTAAGAACTAAATAAAAGATATCTATTAGATACTTATTATTAATAGCTACAAAAGCTATTTATCAGCTAAATTTAATAATTACTATAAGCAGAACAATATTATAACTATTAATATACCTGCATATTTATTATATCTACTACAGCTATTAGATATTACCCTTCATTCACCTTTAAAACGCATATATAGTAATAAAATCAACTAATTTATTAAAGCCTCTATAAATTATATCACTAAGTCTAAGTTCTTTATTACCTTCTACTAAGCTTATAATAAGGTTTTTAATAAAAAAAACATTAGGTCTGCTTTCTAAAGCGCTAGAATTTCACCATAGGACCTAGACCATATTATTAAAAAGCTTAATATATATTTACAGACGCCTACACCTCCTATAGCTAACCCTTTAACACCTCCACCTTAGCAGTTAAAAACGCCCTCTAACCTATAACAAACTATTTTATAGTCTAACTTTATTAAAAGTTATATCTCTACTTATTAAGGTAGCTTACTAATATTAATTATTACTATAATTAAGTAATTATTAAAAGGTATGCAGGTAATAGTATACTTAATCACTATTTTAACTAATTAGCTTTATACCCTTAAGGATATAAATATAGCATTTACTAAACGCTAGAGGACTAAAAGAATGCAGGTCCAGCTTAGAGGGGCACTTAGTATAGAGGAATCTCAGGTTTTGCTTGAAGGGAAACAAAAAGGGAAACGTCCAGCACCTCAAGAGGATGACGAGGGGGGTCCATCAAAGAGAGCCCAGCCAGCTCGGAGACGCTGTGGTATGTGTGGTGAGACTGGGCATAACGCGCGAACCTGTTCTAAAGATGTCGAACCCTCAGGAGATTCTGATAGCGACAACTAATAGTTGATTTAATGCGTTGTGGTTGAGAAATACTAGATGTTGTTGTGTACGTGGGAAAAAAACGTCTGGCTGACTGGTCTGGCTGGCTGACTGATGAACCACGTTATAGGTTAGAGTGAGATATTATATTAGAGAAAGTATTAAACTATTTTTATAATAGATATTATTGTCTATAAGAGATTTAATTAAGTTTTTAGTATTTTTAATAAGATTTTAAGTAAAACCTTATTTAGTAAACTAAATATCTAATAATTTATAAATTATTTATAAGCTATTATTTACTAATTATAGTTTATATAGCTTTTTTTTAATTGTTTTATTAATATTATATTGCTTATTATAAATAGATATAAACTATTTAATAAAGCTAGCTATTTAATTTAAAGTTTTTTAAAAATAAATCTAATATTACTAATAAGAATAAATAAATTACAAGTATAATATTTAGTTAATAAATATTTAGAAGATTTAATAATAAGAAACTTAGTAATAAATATTATAAGATATTTATATATAGCTAATATATTAGTAGTAATAACGCTAATAATAATAGCTATAACTATATATAGATTAAAATACTAAAGATAATAATTTAATATTTTAATATTACTATATATATTAATAGTATTATTATTATTAGTATCAATTAAGTTATATTTTAATTTTAATAATAAAAATATAATATTTTTAGCTTTCTTTTCTATTATTATTATTATTTTCTATTATTTTCATTATTTTCTAATTATTATTAATTTTAATAATACTTTTTTTTTAATAATTTTAATTTTTAATAAACTAATTATAAAAAATCTCACTAAATAGTTTTCTAAGTGGTTTTATATTATTAATATTAGTTTATCTAGTTATACTAACTTTGATTTATTTTTTTATATAATAAGATTTAATTTTATAGTATTTCTAGCTTAATATATAATATTAGTTAAACTTCTTATTACTTAAATTGTTTTTATATTTATAATATTTTAAATAGATATATATGTAGAGAAGTTATTTGTATACATTTTCTTTTTAATATCTAATATTTATAGAATTATTAAGCCTATAATTATTTTTTTATATATATTAATTATAATATTTATTTAATTATTTTTTAAAGCGTTTATATATTAATTATTATCTTATTAGAGATTAATATAGCGCTATATTATTATTTAATAGTGAAGTAGATTTTATTTCTTTGTTTTAGTTTATTTAAAAAAGAAAATAATATTAATTTATAGAACATTTAGTTAAATAACCTTTTTAGTAAATAAATATATTTAAATAAAAAAATGGCATTAATTTAGATATATTAATGAGTTTTTTATAAATAATAATCATAACAATATTAATTTTCTTTAGATTATATAAATAAATTATTATTTTTAAGCGTTAAGCTTTAAATAATTTAGGTTTATAATAAAATTAACTTATTATTATTTATATCTTTCTCTTTTTTAAATATATTAAAGAATAATATAAATATGTTATTAATATTATAATAAAAAGCTATAGATATATTATCTATAAATCAAATAGTTTAATAAAACATTAAGTTATTTAGAATTAAGTTTAATTAAAATAATCATATTAATAAAAATAAAATATTTTAAAATTAGATCTTTTATAATAGATTTGTTCTATTTTTTTTTATATTATTATTATTATTTAATAAAAAGATATTTTAAAGCTTTTTATAATAACAAAAAAGCTATGTATACATACTTTTTTTATAATATAGATTTAAAAACTATTGAATTATTAAGGTTAAAATTAACTTTAGTAATAATGACCTCTTTAATAGCTTTTCTAATAACTTTTTAAATAATAATAGCTTAGTAAACGTTTTTAATAAATATAATAATTCTAATTAATAATAAAATAAAATATTAAAATTGTTTTTAGTAATATTTTATATTAGTTATTATATATATTATTACGTTTATATATTATTAGTAATAAGTAATAAATAATACCTAGATAAGTCATTATGTATTTACTAAAATATATAATAATACTTAAAAAATATTATAATATTTTTGGATTATAAGATTTAATAGAAATAAATTAATTAAAGTTATTAAAATAGGTTAATTACTGTATTATAAATATCTATATAGTATTAAGTAAAGTTTTATATATATATATATATATAGGGATTATACGTACGTAATTTCAGTAAAAAGGGGGTGTGGATGCTATTAGTGCAACGGACTGTACCTGATAGGGATCACTACTCCGTCAGCGGCTGACGGCAGAGAGCCTTATCTTTCTTGTTCCGCGACACAGCAATTTCTCACGAGTACACCTCCAACACTTTTTTCGAGCAACGCGACAAGACTGCGCCTTAAACCTCGACACCGAACGTGATCCACTCCTCGGACTTGAATTGGGGTCCAGGACGCCCGGGCAGGGGATGACCAACACGCTGCGGCGTAACCAACACAACGTAGCATTTCTCCTGCTGACGATTTCCTTTCCGAGAAATCTGGTGCCTTGCCTCATCTCCCTGCTGCATCTCAACCACGCCGCACCTGGCAGCTGAACACAGGCGAAGCCGCCCGGCCTGTCCTCCTCGTCTTGGGATCTCAAAGCCCCCGACTTAAAAAGGGGAGACTCCTACGTCTCGATATTCATCTTCTCAACTCCAGTGAGCCCAAACAATACCCTCCCACAATGCTATCCTCTACTTTCCTTCCATCCCTCGCTCTAGCCCTAGCATCCCTGCCATGGAGTTCGGCAGACACCACGACCCCATGCAAGTCCTTCCCAGGCAGCGCTGACTGGCCGTCCACAGAATCCTGGGCCGCGCTCAATGAGTCTCTTGGAAGCCGACTGCTGCAACCGGCTGCTCCAGGAGCTGTCTGCCATCCCGGAGAACCGTCCTACGACGCCGGCCGGTGCGCCGCCGTGCAGGCCGGATGGAGCCGCTTCGACTTCCACAAGGCCGACCCCGTCTCCGTCATGTGGGACAACTGGAGCAATGCCACCTGCCTCCCTGACGCGGCTTATCTGTGTCGCGCTGACGGATACTCTGCGTTCGTCGTGAACGCGACCACGCCGGAGCATGTCAAGTTTGGTGTTGACTTTGGTGCGTTTGTACCCAACTTCTCGTCATGATGGACCGGTTGCTTAACGAGTGTAGCGCGGGAGAATAACGTGAGGTTGGTCGTCAAGAGTACGGGGCACGATTACCTAGGGCGCTCTTTTGCCCCGGGGTCTCTGTCCACTTGGGTGCACCATATGCAAGATGTGCAGTACCACGGAGCTGGGTTCCAACTTGCCGGGAGCGATATCACTATCGAGGGGAACGCCGTCACTGTTGGGGGCGGCACCGAGCTGTACAACGCGCAGAAGGCCCTGGCCGAACATGGGCAGGCCATCGTCGGCGGCGGTTGCGGGACCGTGGGAGTCGGCGGGTTCACCCCCGGAGGCGGCCACTCGCTGCTGGGCCCGCGGTACGGCATGGCGGCGGACAATGTTCTGCAGATGGAGATCGTCTCGCCCAAGGGCGAGATCATGACGATCAACGAGGCGCAGAACACGGATCTGTTCTGGGCTATGCGCGGTGTAAGAGCGGACATCATCTGATATTTACACGACTTCCCGATGTTAACTCGAGCAGGGCGGCCCCGGCACCTTCGGCGTCATCACCTCCATCACCTTCTTAACGCACCCCTCGCCTGCAATAACTCATACCTTCTGGGCTATCAGAACCGAGCCCGACGCACCTTATCTCCCAGCCCTCACCGCATACGTCCTCTCCCAGATGCCCGCGCTCGAACGCGCCGGCATGTCCATGTACTGCACCTCATCGCGCGTGCTCATGGAAAACCCCTTTCCGGTACAAAGTCTGCCGGCGCAGATCGCAGGCATGATGGGCGTGGCCCTTCTACAGGACCAGCCGGACTCAGAAGCGATGCAGGAGCTCTGGCAGCCCATCAACACAACCATCGCCGCGCGCTGGCCCGAGGCCGTGTTCGTGCTGCAGACGGAGCAGTTTGCCTCGTGGTTCGACTGGTTCGACAAGTACCGCGACGCGCGGCCCGTGGGGTACCACCTCATCTTCGCGTCGCGGCTGCTCGACGAGGCGGCTCTGACTGAGGATGTGGACGCGCTGGCGGCGGCGGTTGGGACGGCCACGGAGAGGGTGGGACGCGTGACGGCGTTTTTGGTTTCAGGGAGGGGGGTGCACGAGGCGGTGCCGCGCGGGGGCGGGAATGCGGTGCATCCGGCTTGGAGGAGGGCGTATATCCACGCGAGTGAGTTTTCATATTTGCAGTGGGTGGGATGTGTTGAAGACTAATGATGTGTGCACAGTGGCGACGGCTCAGTTCCCTGCCATGAATGCCACGGCAAAACAGGAGGCGATTAAGCTTGTTGATGCGGCGGCGGAGGGGTTGCGACGGTTGGCTCCTGATATGGGGTCTTACATCAACGAGGTGAGTGATCCGCATTCGAGCTGGAGGATGAGTTGCTTATTGGGTCACAGGGCTCTGTGTATGAAAAGGACTGGCAGCAGGCCTACTGGGGCGCGCACTATGATCGACTACTCAGTATCAAGAAGATCGTCGACCCAGACGGCGTGTTCTGGTGCGAGCCGTGCGTTGGTAACGAGGGATGGGAGGTGGTCGATGAAGGACGGCTTTGCCGGGCCTGAGTTGAACCATAAGATGCAGCGGAGGATGTGAAATACGAATTATATCGATTAACTATGATTAGATCAAATACCACGGTGCTCTCTGCTTAAGCCTTCGTCGTGACATTCATTTTCTTCACCCACGGCTTCCAGACATCCTCAATGGTGCCCGGGTCATTCCACCCGTTCCACTCGTAGTTGCCCAGCGCCCAGCCGTCAAAGACACCCTGCGCGCCGGAACGAATACGGTAGCTGCCCGCCAGCCCCCACATCATCCAGCTGATCTTGTTCTTGACGGTGAACTCGCGCAGGCAGACCTGCAAAGTGTCGTTGCGCATCGTGTCGTCCTGCGCATTGCCGAACTCGGACAGGATGACGGGCGTCAGGCGGCTCGCCTTCGGGCAGTCGCCGGTAACATTACACGCGGCCGGCTTGTCGATACCCAGCGCGTTGAACCCAGAGCGGTAAAACCCGGCCTCGATGATAGGGCAGGTGCCCGTGTCGACGTCCTCGCTCATCTTGTACAGGTGCAGCTCCCAGACGAGCTTGTCGGCCCAGGCGTGGGCGTCGACGTCGAAGACCTTGGGCTCGCGGCGCGCGGCGTCGCGGATGGCGGTGCACTTGTAGCACGGCGCGGTGAGGTAGTTCTTGCCGCTCGTGAGCGCGGAGAGGTCCTGGCCGTACTGCATGCCGCCCCAGAGGATGAGCACGTCCGGGTTGGCCTCGTGGATGGCGTCGGCGCCGGCGGAGAAGTTGCCGACGAGGGTGTCCCAGTTGTAGTACAGGTCGGTCTTGTTCCAGGACTCGCGGACCTCGTTGCGCAGGGACATGGAGACGATGTTGGGGTGGCCGCGGGCCCAGTTGGCGACGTAGGAGAGGCCGCGGCGCCAGTGGGTGGTGTTGAAGTAGACGTCGTCGAACCAGCCGTTGCCGTCGGTGTGGGAGCAGCACCACATGGCCTTGCTGACGTGGACGTCCGGGGAGATGAAGATGCCGCGGTCGAGGGCGGCCTTGGCGATGTCGGACCAGATCTCGAAGCGGGTGGTTTCGCGCGTCCAGGTCGGGTTCTGCTTGATGATCTCGTTGGTGACCTTGGTGCCGTTGACGTAGCCGAGGGCGTTGACCATGGCGACCTCGAGCGGGACGTCTTCGCCTTCGCGGTCGTAGATTTGGTCCACCATCTCAATGGCGTAGCCCCTGGTGAAGGGTGGGTTAGTTGCGTGACCACCGTGAAGGAAACATGTAGCGAGGACTTACATTCGGATATAGTTGAAGCCAATGCTGGCGACACTGTCCAGGATCTTGTCAACCGAAGACCATTCCAGGCCCTCGGGGACCATAGTCTCGCCGCTCATGGGCCAATTGACGCCAGCCCATGTGATGACCTCGCCGCGGCTGTTGACGATGTCGCGGCGTTGGGTGCTGAAGGGGCCATATGGCCAGGCGTTGCTGGAGTCGTTGGTCGCCTGTCTGACGGACTGTCTCTGGGCAGTGTACCGCCCCATGACGGGGGTCTTCATGTACTGGCCGCACGCCGACGACACGAGGGTCGCGGCGGCGATCGCGAGGGCCGTCAGCTTCATTATGGAAACAAAGTTGCGCCAACGACCACGTGTAGAAGCTGCAATGGAACGGCGAACGTTGCGTCGAGGGAGGGCGAAAAGGACGCCGGCGTCCTTTTTAAGGCCACCGCCCGCGGCGACACCTTCATGAGCCGCTGCCATTTCCTGTCCTCGGTGGATTGGCCGGCGAGGTGTCCGTATCCGTGGAGAGCAAAGGGCTGGTCGGTCAGTCTAGTTGGCTGGGTCGGCTCCGCAATCCCCGCATGTGCTGCTTTCTGCCCCTTCCAGCGGGATTAGCATCGTCATACTCTCTCAAACCTGTCTGGTCACGAGGGTTGGTTGCGTACCACGCCGGTGGATGGGGTTGGTTTTTGCCGGAGCTGTGGGCGATCAAGGTTTGGGGCCGGGAGAGCAGGGTGGCCCTTGTCGCGGGGAAGGTTTGTTGGAGAAGCTTCATGACGGCATTGGACCGCTTGAAAGAGTGGAGAGCTCGGGAGCCGGGCTACCCCGCATGGCAAAGTGCGGAGGCGGTGGAGAAGACAAATAAAAAGGAAATGAGAGCGGGCAGCGGGACATTTCCCAGTTGACCAGTCCACTGGCTTGCCGAGCAACCCGTCCCCGGGGGTGGGGGCTCCATGGCTCGGAGCCGGACCGAATCGGATGGGTGCTCCGTAAGATGCCTGGCACCTCTAGTAGCCTGATTTCCCACATGTCGAAAAATCATGTGATGACGTCGTCAGCCAAGCTGTGCGAGGAGTTTGGGTGAGAACATGGCTGTATAGTAATGGAGTCAAGGAGGCCAGTGACGACAGTATATATTAGATGACTGACGGATACAAGTATTAACAAGAATGGGGACGACGATGATGACGAGGACGATGAAGATAATCTAGGAGAAAGGAACAATAGAGACAATATAGCTAGTATATGTAAGAATATCTCCAGCTATCCCACAGATAGCATGTAGTTAGAGCCTCAAGGTATAATGGCAAAGCAGCTTTTCGACCTAGAGTCTAGAGTCTTCGCCTCTCATCTTGATGTTAGAGTTGAAAGTATTTGAAGTGGAACCTTATGATACGCCGCGACATACCCAACAACACCCCAAAATGATGTAAAAAGAGAGATCACGACTGGGGCATGAGTCGAACACGCGACCTGCGCCTGGAAGATATGGAATACGCGCCGCTCTACCACCCGAGCTACCCAGCCGTTGCTTTCTTCTTGAATTATTCCTCTCTTGTCTTGATCTTAAGTCAAGAGGCGATGCGGGCTGACAGTCATCGTGGTTGCCTGGAGGGAAAGATGGGGCCGAGCGGCCTGGTCTGACAGAATCTTCTAGATCAACACGCGCCTTTCAGATGGGCAGCTTCAGGCGTACGAACATCATGTTACCGGCAGGTGATCCAAACGTTGCAATAGCCGCTGCGATTTAACAAGAACTTGAGAGGCATTCGTAAAGTTCATTGGTAGGCGGCACAGACTTGTAAATATATTCACTAAAGAAAGTAAAAAGCGTCCACTACTTCTTCAAGCTCTTCTCCGGGTCCTTCTCGTACCTGTTGCACCACTTCCTCCACTCCTTAGCGCCCTTGTGCATGACCACCTTCAAGTCGTCCTTGACGTCGTTAACCTCCCACGCCTCGTCCTCCCAGTTCTTCTGCCCGCCGGTCCGCGAGGGCGACCAGCCGATGGCCTCCAAGCACTCACTATTTTACCAATGTCAGCAGGTGTTTACATATTAGAGACATATTACCGGGGAATGAAACTCACACTTCAGTCGGTGCGTGGCTGTACCGCGGGAACAGCCGCGAGTCGACGCGGTGGCACTCGGCGTACAGGTAGCTGGAGAGCACGTCGATGCGGTGCGCGGGCTTGAACGTGATCTTCAGCTTGTTCTCCTTCTCCAGCTCCTTTTCAGACTTCTCGGGGTCGATGGTCTCGGGATCCTGTGACGTCGACGCGATGCGCTTCGTCACGGAGCGGGCGGTCTTGGTGCCCTTGATGGTGAAGTACGCCCACACAGCTGTCGCTCACGTTAGCATTGGCGAACAAATTACCAATAGTAACCAAGATAAACTGACCATTGACCTCGAAGAGCCCGCTGATAGCAATCATGACGAGGTCGATTGCCAGCGAGACGGGGAGCAGGCCCGTCGCGATGATGGCGTCCCGCTGCGCCTTGGACTTTGTCCGCAGCATCGTGTTGACAAACTCCTCCCGCATCTGCTCCGGCGTCATGTTCATCGACGGCGGGTACACGAAGACGATCTCCTCCACACCGACCGTCTTCTTGGTCTCGTGGGAGCCGTGCGCCGGGTCGTCGTCCTGGACATCCTCCTCCTTGATATCCTCCGAGAACTTGCCGCCGCTCTTCTCATCGCGTGCCTTCTCCTCGCTGAACTTCTCCTCGAAAGGGTTCTCCTCCCTTGCCTTCTCCTCAGACCCGGCCTCCCTGGCTTTGTCATACACGCCAGCCTCCTTCGCCTTCTCGTCAGCAGCCCTCGTCGCCTCGTCAGCGGGCTTGCCACTCTCCTCAGCCTTCTCGTCAACATCCACGCTGTCCTTCCCCTTGACGTCCCCATCTTTACCATCCTTCGACTTGTTCCTCCTCCCCTTGCTCTTCAGCGAGAGCTTGCGCGCAAGATTCGACGTCGACGACGACGAAGCCGGCGCCGGCGGAGGCGTCACGCGCGCGAGGAAGTCAAGATTACTCGTCGTGGTATATTGCATCGCCCTATCCACGCCCCGTGTGCACTTGGCCTTGAACCCCGCCCAGCTCGTCGTCTTCGCGTCACTCTGCTTCGCCTGCCGCACCTCCGCCTGCCACTTGCGCTGCACCTTGTGCGAGACGCCCTCCTTCACGCCCTCGGGCGGCGCCTGCAGCGGCGGCGGCGGCGGCGTGTACACCAGGAACCGCGTCGGCATGCCGCCCTTGTCCGGCGGCGCGCCCAGCCACGGCTTCGGGAACGGCACCAGGTACGCGATCAGCTTGTGCGGGTCGCGCGAGTAGTGCACCGGGTTGTTGGGGTCGTCGGCGCCAAAGTCGGAGCCCTGGCGCCGCGGCGGCGCCATGAAGCCCTCTGTGGATGGTGTCCTGGTGAACGGTGCGGGCTCTTGCTGTTGCTTGAGCATGGCTGCTACGGCGTCTGGGTGTGGACGCGCGGGCAGCGGCGGGGCCGGGCCGCCGTGCTCCTCCTCGTGCTGCAGGCGCATGGCGAGCGCGCGGTCTTCGTCTTCTGGGGACATTGGATGAGACGGCTGCGGCTGTGGTGGCCCGCTGTTTCCCCAGCCAGATGAGCCATGTGATGGGCGCTGGGGCAGATCATGCCGGTTGTGGTTTCCCTCTTCCTCTTCTTGGAGTGCTAATGCCATTGCGTAGTCGCGGTCCTCTTGCTCCTGGATGGAGGGATCGGACGCGTGTGCTTGGGCATAGTAGTCCGCGACCTCCGGCTCTTGAGAGGGCCTTGGACCAGGCAAGGGCGGACGGTCCTCGGGGATGGGGGCGGGTGCTGGAGGTTCTGGCGACTTGCCCTTGTCGTCGGGGATGCGGTGGCCATCTGGTACGCTGTATGTGTAGCCGGTGTCGTTGTGATGTACGACGGGCTCGGGCGCTTTGCCCTTGTCTTCTGCGGTGGGATGTCCATTGGGGGGCTGTGAGTGGCCGGTGTCGTGATGCAGCACGGCAGGCTCGGACATGGGTGATACGTAATAGTTGTCCTGCGCGGGCTGATGTTGAGGCTGGTGCGATGAAGACGCCATTTCGTCGACTGTCACCCTGGATTCGACAGGCGACGGCGGCGAGGCGCTCCTTTTGCTGGGAGGATCGTAAATGTCGTCAGCGGTGTTGTTGTTGATGATGGTCTCTGCTGGGGGGTCGTAGATGTCGACGCGAGGTTTACTTGGGGGGTCGTAAATGTTGTCCTCCTCATCCTCCTCCTCCTCCGGGACGGCGTCGGCCGCATGTTTCGTCCTATTGGGGTCCTTATAAGACCACTGCGAGCGCACGCTATTGGAGCGATAGGTCGTGGGCGTGGCGGGTATAATGTTCACCGCAGGGACTCCGCTGCCTGATGGGACGGTGGGTGACTCATTGTTGAGGTCATCGTACCAGCGGCTGTTGCTGTGAGTTTGCTGGTCGTACTCATGCTGTCCCTGAGCTTGTTGTGAGCTCGGCTTGGATGGGAAGAAGAGCTCCTGCTCCGCGATGGAGCTTGGTGTATGGCGCTGCTGGGTAGTGTCCATCTTGGCGATGCAAGCTTTACTGCACGTTTTCCAAGACACTATATTTTCTGTTTGGTTTTTGCTCTTCGATGAAGAGAGAAAAGTGAGGAAACGAAGCGGGCTATACGGACACAAGCCAATTCAGTCAAGTCAGCGCAAACCTTAAATTTGGAGCTCGTTTGGTTCTTCAGCATTCTGAGGCGACAAAAACCGCCTTGGAACGCGCAACCCCGGTGCGGCGTTGAAAGGGAATGACGTGGTGTCACTGAGGGAGGGTGTGGCGCAGCCCGAATTGGTTTGTGGCTCTGGCAGTCTGGCGCCCCAACGGTCAGCGGCGCAGCTCACTGAGTCCTTGTACGGGATCTCCGTGATGGACAGGGGTGGTTTCTGGCGATCCTGGCATTGGCCAAACTGTGGCTAGAGCTCGGTTTCAAGTCCGAGGGGTTTCGGTGCGGCGGTGAGTGTCTGTTGGGCGACCGGCGAACGCATAGCGAAGACATCCTGGGGATAGCAGCAAAACTTGGATCTCTGGGCGGTCACTTCTCTCTGCTCTGAGGCGGCGCGCTGTTGTTCTCGCCCCGAACATGCCGTTTGCGAAAGCTACGATACCCCTGGATTAAGCTGCTGGATCGTGCGGGTGTTGTGTTGCACAGGAAAGATTCTATTGTTTTCTGGTGGATGGACGAATTGGGGGCTGGATGTGACCTGCCTACCATACCATGAAGCACCTATACGCACACTCATCCAGCACCGTTTACTGGTCACGATCAGGAATGAGTATATGTAGCGTTTGCTGCTCATCCAGAAGGGCCAAGACCTTGGACAGTTTCGCGTACGTCGCGATGCCACGGCTGGGGGCATCGGGAAAAGTCGGAGGAAGCCAAACAGATGTCACCATGGGTATGCGACATGGAGAACGGGTCGGATTCTAGGCGAGAGTGTTAAGCATTGCATCCTCGCGGGGGAGCCAAGCATTTGAGAGGAACCCGAAAGAAGGGTCGAAGTCGTTAGCTTGGGGATCGTGATTTGATGTTCACAAAATAGCCGTCTATTTCGAGAAAGCCAAGTCGTCCTCGAAAAAGAATGACGGGGGAGCGAAGAGTTGGGGTTATCATACTCAACACGACACACGACTACTCCTGTCGCTAGAGTGGTGATTCGCAGCTCAGAGTTGACGATGGAAAGGCCAGAAGTGAGGCCAGATGAGACCCGGCGTCCACGATCAATCGCTTCAACTACACAATCGAACAGACCAAATTTAGCAGTTGATCTCGAAATTTCACAGTGCCCATCGTAGCGGCTCCTGTCAGTCGGTCTCTCTCTTCTCCACATACCAAAGCCCCGAGCGCACCTCAGCATTTTCAGCCCAAGTCGGCGGTGCAGCATGCCAGAAAAGAATTGTTCGCTTCCTGCCAAGCTGCCGCAAGCCAATGCGCACCGCAGCGCAGTCAGTTACTGCCATTTTTACTTTCTGTGCCCTTTCAGCTGGTCTACGGCATAGACGTGGTGCCGCATTAGCCGTGCGCTCGGTCAACTGAAGTTTTGCATACGTCGAGAAGGTAGATGGGAGAAGAGACGAATCCGTGGCGACGTGCGTGCGTCTGTCCTGTCTGTCTGTCTCCGTCAGCCGTCAGCAAAGGGAAAGCAGCATCGTGTGAAAGGGAGCTGTTGGCAGAATGTTCCGCGGGAGAATGATGACAGACTCCGGGCGGTGGGTGTTTGGGAGTGGGATAAATTTAGCTGAGTCAGCCCCGATTTCGACCGGGCACTTGTTACCGGGAGACCCACCTCGGGGTATTCCCACGTCCCCTCTCCACCTCGGGCGGCACGGGCACCTCTGCCTCTCCCGCGAATAGCTTCGACTGGCAACCCGTCAGTGCTCTTGTCTCAAGACTACGTCGTCCTTGTTGCTGAGTTACTTTGGACCAGACTTGGCATTTGCGAAGTGCGGGCCACCAGCTTCACAGCAACAGCAACATATCTCTGCTCCATGAGGCTGCTCTGTCTGTCAAAGTGTTTCTCCTCATCTTCGTGCAAGTCCAAGAACTAGTCACACGGCCTCTGCAGGCTTGGCACCGCTGGTGTTGCGGCTCTTCACTCGCAGGCGACGTCCCTAACAGACGAAGGTGTGAAGCCTGTCTCCCTCTCAAAATAGCTGACTTTCGTCTGAGAGAGCCCCCACTCCGCATGGATGCGTTTCCAGTGTCCCACTCCCTCTCTGAGGCATGTTTCAAAATCGTATCCCGCGCCGCTATTCGTCGATCTCCCGCCCTGGCAAATCCGCCAAGGCATCGCTCTCCTTTCCATCCAACTTCCTGATTCGTCCGCCGTGTTTTGGGACGCAGCGAAGCGCAAGAGCCTCTCTGGTGTTTGTCCGTATCAAACTGCTGCTTGACGAATCCCAAGGCTGATGATGAATTGGGGGTCCATGTCTTTCTCTCTTTGTGAATCCACAACCCACCTCTCCCGTATGGGTCTTTCGTATTCCCACTTCTTTTCCCCCTCTCACCCCTCGGGACCGTAGCACCCCGAGCCAAGCCAAGCCCAGACTGCCTGTCAAACCTTTGAAAACCCCCGACGAAGAAGATGACGGGAGCCCAGGCCCGGAGTCCTACGTCCAGATCTGGGTTACAGCAGGAGACTTGCATCAAACAAGCAACGCACCCCCCATCGCAGTATTCGTACCCACCGGCGCTTATTTTGGTAGTCGTGCTGCAGGATCTCCCGTCTGAGCTTGGCAAGTGTCAAGAGCATGGCTCTTCACCCCAGGCCCTAGACCCGCGCGTCCGGTTGTCATTATAAGTATATCTGACGGCTGCCTTCCCGTGCTATCGATCATGACGACCCTCTAAACTCTGTTTCCTTTTGTCTTTATATCTCCGAGTGTGTGTGGTGCGTGTCTCCGCAACTCTCTTTTCTCTTCAACCCGCCGGGCTGGTTCCCATCCTTGCCCGACAACCGCTATGCAGTTGAAGGGATTTCTTCCTCTGGCCTTCGCTGCACTGGCGGCGGCGGCTGAGCCGCTGGCCGCCGTGCTAAAGACTCACAATGGAACTCTGAGTACGATGAACTGTGAGTAGTAGTATCCCGCATCGTAGGGGGGAATGGCCTTACTTACACGAATCGAAATCCAGCTCTGCTCGCCATGGTCCCCGCAGTCGGCGAGTCCCTCTCCACCTCCAAAGACTTCACCATCCTCGCGCCCTCGAACGACGCCTTCGCCAAGGCCATGCAGGCCGACCCCACGCTCGCCCAGAAGATGACCAACGTTACCTGGGTCACCGACCTGCTCATGTACCACGTCGTCTCCGGCAAGACCACCTCGGCCGCCTTCTCCTCGAAGCCCAAGTTCGCCAACACCATGTTCGAGACGCCCTTCGCCAACGTCACGGGCACTCAGAGGGTCGAGCTCAACAAGATGGCCGGCAAGGCCGTCGTCTACAGCGGCTTCAAGCAGATGAGCATCGTCGAGACGCCCGACATCACCTTCAACGGCGGCGTGCTGCACGTCATGGACTCGGTGCTGACGTTCCCCGGAACGCCGGCCGAGACGGCCATGAACACGGGCCTGACGAGCATGGCGGGCGCGTTGATGAAGGCGGGCTTGGTGGACGGGGTGGATAGTCTGCAGGCTGCGACTGTGTTTGCACCGACGAATGCGGCGTTCCAGGCTATTGGGGCGACTGTCACGTCGATGCAGCCGGCGGATCTAGCCAAGGTGCTGCAGTACCACGTCGTGCAGAACCAGGTCCGCTTCAGTACAGGAATTACGACCAAGATGGGGTTCAAGAGCTTGATGGGGGAGAAGGTTACCCTGAGGAAGGAGGAGGGTGTGGTGTATGCCAACTCGGCCAAGGTGTCGGTTGCCAACATCATCACTAGCGATGGTGTCATGCACGTCATTGACAAGTAAGCATTCACTCAATTGCCAGTCTTGAGACTCCTGACTAACGTGCTCCAGCGTCCTCAACCCCGCCTCGCCGAAGCTGACCCCCTCGAAATCCGCCGCGACCTCCCCCCTCGCCTTCAATGGAGCCGTCGCTGCAGCCAACGCCCCGTTCGCCGACACGGTAAAGCCGACCGCCAACTTCGTCCTCGCCGTTGAATCGAGCGCGATCAACGTCAAGGTCAGCTTTGTTCGTGCCGTGCTTGGGTTCCTCGGATGCCTGGCGGTGGTCATGTTGTAAAGCGCAATGGAGACGGGGTCTTCTTTTGTCACGTACAAATCTCATTCCATTCTTTGGGAGCTTCAAGCGAGCATCTTACAATACCAGAGACCTATTACTCAGATACTACTTTTTAATTAGAGCGGACTTTAAAAATTTTGCAATGTTATATAAACCCCTCGCTCCACCGTGGTCGCGGATGTGGTTACACATGCCACGGCTGCCGCTCATTCTCACAAGAAATCAACGGGGTACTGAAGGTATATATATGTGATGTATCAAGGTCAACGGAAGTATAGATTAAACGTTCCGTTCCCTCGAGACGAACAGCTGCGGTGCGTTGTCTGGGGATTCCGAAGTTCCCAAGGGTTCGTCGCATCTCCTTGACGTCCATGTCTCCGGCTCCTATCCTTAAGTGGAAGATGTCCAGCATCAACTGGTGTTCTCTGTACCCTACAATGGTGTATTGCACATTGTGTCCGAAATCCTCGATGCCGATGTCCTCGTAACCGAGTAGACCACTAAACAGGAACATAAATTCTCCGATTCGGCATTGTCTAGTGGGATCATCGTCTGCCAGCATAGGACATGGTGCTTCCAAAAGGATTGACCCGTACTTTGGCTTCTCAACAGCCACCAGGAACATGCGGTTTTCGTGGTCCCAGCTATCTGGCGGCCACGTCTTGACAATCTTGCAGCCCTGGGGAAACGCAAAGTATGGCTGGTCTGAGAGAGTGCTTAAGTTGATGGACATGATGTCCAGCGGGTCTTTGAAGATGTACGCGTCTGGGCAGCGTATCCAGTGCACCATGCTAGCTTCTGTATCGTCCGGTATCTTCACGAGCTTGCCAATATTCCTCGCGAATATGCCTGGACTTATCTTTCTTAGCCCAACGCCGAGCGCAGGCATGCGCTGGCCCGCAACCACACCCTTCTGCGTGGGTTGCCCGCCGTGAAAGGAGACCGGGAGAATGTAATGCAGCAGATCGGTCTGTCCCTTCCGCACCAGGCACAGTTCGAGGGTCAACTTCACCCCAGCGTTAGTGATGCTGACCTCGTTCCATTGACGTCTGATATGGCCTGCAGGTATCGAGTGAAATTGTCCGGGCGCATCGGCGAACGCCCCGCAAAACCCTGGGGTTGTTTTAGACCAGGCGAAGATTGACACATCATATCCGGTTCGTATAATCTCCTCCTGAAGACGACGGAACGCCTTCGATCCCTCGCCGTAGAGCATTGGCATATTGACGTCAAAGATGCCCAGAAGACAGTAGGCCTTGTCCTCCTCCCTAGTGGTTTCGCGACCGGCAGCCCACGACATCCGCTCCGCGATGGAGTGGCTTGCCGGAACATAATACGTCATGGCTTTGGAAGAGATGCCTGTGACGCCCGAGAGTATTTCATACCAGTCCCGCTTGTCGCCAACGAGCCCCCAGTCGTGTTGATAGAAGCGCACATCAGCCGGCGCGATGAGCTCCTGCAAGGTCCAGCCCCTGGAGAACCAGCGGCACTTGCGCAAGAAGGGCTCCAGGGCCATATCCTTGGGAAATGATGCAGGAAGGCGGAGGTCTGACAGGTAGGCGTAGCATACTTTGGCATTTTTGTACCACTTGTACATCGAGTTGATGGCCTCCGAAAGCTCTGCGCTGTTGGACTTGTCGATGCAGCATGTATCGATCCAGGCGTACTTGATACCGTCGTGGGCGGCCAACCGGCATGTCTTACGTATCTTGTGGAAACCCTTCATCCTCTTGCGCCTCCATCTACTCCAATCCTGGAGAGTGACTTCCTCGTCTTCCCATGTGTGTGAGAGGATTGCGTAAGGTGGTATCTCTCGGTCATAATAGGTTTCCATAGAGAGCGTGGTTGTTTCTATTAGCCGCATGATGGACGGTTCTATAGTAAGAGACGTTTTGTGTGGTATTGTTCTAGTTTTTCGCGGGTCTCTCGGTTCTTCGTCTCCTATGATTGTTGGGGCTGCATTGGCAACGTCATATGAAATGCACATACTGACGCGTGGAATGTACGAATGCGGCCAGTATGTTGGAAGTTACAACTCAATTTTCTGATTTGGCCGTGATACAGACTGGTTTTGGGATAGAGCGGCAGGGAGGTCGGTGAAGGTCCAAATGAAGGTAGTAGTAGGCAGACCGCAACTAAAAAGCTGCTAGCTTCGAGCACTATGTCAAGAAGCAAAATGGATCGAATCACTTGACCCCAAGTGTTTTTCAGCCACAGCATCGGCGGCGGGAGCTTCGCGAGAATTGGCAGCTGTGGGGTGGCGCTGGGAAGAGTGCGTAGATCATGGAATGCTGAAGTGGAAAAATACACACAGAGACACGTATCCGAACCACATGATCTCTGCCATAAAAATCACTGATCAGGATGGTGGGCGCTTCCATTCATTGGTTCACACAGCTTGGGGGTCAGACGGAGTCATACGAAATGCAGCCTGGTGCGGCGCAGCCCTGCGAGAAAAAGGCCTTTGCATAGTCCAATCTGACCAAAAGGAAATCACGCAAGTAGAAGCTCCAGTTGCCAGAAGTTTCATACTTACAAGTCTAGACCCGCTACTTTCAAAGACAAGTACGAAAAGCAGAAAGGAGGTGAATGACAATAACTTGACCGCAGAGCTTAAAACCCAGCAACTGCCTGCATTTATTTACTTCAACTCACAGCCCAGCCAATATTTGCAAAAATCAAAGGCCTGCTTCTTCGCCCCATCTTCCGTGTACGGTCGGCATATGTCTGGCGCAGTTTCCCAAGTAATCTCCGTAACTCTCGCGTCCTGATTCTCCCCCTCACACTCAACCTTTGCTTCGGTAGCAGATGGAGTACCACTTGTACGAAACCTAGGAGCCTTGACATAAAAACGTATTATCTCATTCCCAGTCCAACTCCGGTACGCGTGGAAACAATGTTCCCCATCTCGTCTGGTCCATCCGCCCGAAGCGAGCAGCGGTCTTCCATACGTTCGGGGTCGTAGCCTTCCAGAATTCTAACGACGTCTTTATCGGATAGCGCGAGATCCCACTTTGCAGTTTTGGGGTTTTCAATTGGACAAAAAACGTCATCTTCTGAAAGCGTGAGGCCGTACTTTTCATAGCCTACTTCCGCGTTTAGTTCATCCCTCGTTTCAGGACTTAGTTCCATGATCCGTTTGGGTCTCTTTTTGAAGCTTGGTTTGAAGGTCGATGTGGAGCTCGATTCGGTACCGCGTTGAGAAAGGCGACTTGTTTGATGGTAATGGGCTTGAGCTGTGATGGAGGGGCAGTAGCGAGCATGAGCAGTGGTTGTTGAGTGTTTGGCAGCCGAGAGACCGGACTTGAGAAGTCGTCTGAACATCGTGCGCTTCGATTCCTCCCTTCTCGTCTTCTTTGCGTCTCTCTCTTCCTTTCTAGTTTGTCTTATTCTCTGTATCTTGTTGTGTGCTATTCTTGTCGTGTTAGTTAGTCGTGATTGCAGTGGCGTTGATAGAATAGATTGTGAGATAACCTTGACAGTATAGGCGACTATTCTTGCATATATCTGCAGGCTGCCGGTCTGTTTTACGAGGGAGAGTGTGTTGTTCAGATCGAGGATGAGGAATGAGTTCGGGTGGAGCGCTTGGTATCTAGGCCTCTTATATGTATAGCTACGATAAAGTTTACCGTGAAGACTTTTTCAAAAGTAGCTGAGAACCTCGCTGACCACGGTAGTCAGCGTGAGCAGTAGAAGAAACATGTCTCACTGAACATGGCACCGACTGCAGTGCTCATCACACTGCAATTTTAGCATAGGTACATAACTACCCAGGGACGAGAGAGACGACAGAGACGAGAGAGACGACAGAGACGAGAGAGACGACAGAGATAATAAAAACAATAAAAACCATAGAGACAACAGGGACGATAAGGATACAAGAAATAATAGTGATAATACGAATAGATCTGATAAAAGAGATAACAATAATAGAGATAAAACAGCACTCTTCCGGGATATCTAGAAGCATTTCTATATACTGACTTTCTGTAATGCTTTCAAGCTCTTCATATATAATCAAAGTCATTGCTCTCGCAGATGCAACGAATCATTGCTACTAGACGAAACGAATAACATAAATTTCCTGGGGAATCTTCCAGAACCTCCTAAAAGCTAACTCCAACCATGATCTACAAAATTCGCCATGCACCACCCAAGCATCCTTCCCTTCACCACCTCCGCCCACAACCAAATGCGCTCCTTCGCCTCGTCACCGCTCACTTCGGCTGGCCCGGGTCAACATACCCAGACCCCCGGCGGCACACCTTGTCGACCGCGCTGTTCTCGCACGGGAACGTGTCCGGGCACGTGTTGAACGTGTAGAAGTCCGTCTGGCAGCACTCGGCGATGCTGTAGCAGCTGTCCGTGGGGATGTTGCAGACGCCAGCCTGAGTAAAGCCCCGTTTCGTTAGCAAGAAAAGAATTCGGGGGCGGGTGCATCTCGAGAGATAGAGAAAGAGAGAAGGGGAGGGGGAGTTGGCTCATTGAACGTAAACGTACCTCATTGAGACGAAAATCGAACTGCGAATCGCAGCAGAACTTGGTCAACCCAATGTCCCCGCCGGACCGGTCCGAGTTCATGCAGTAGCCCATGGAGCGCGAGGCCATAGCGCCGGCGGCGAGGGAGGCGATTGTCAGAAAGGTTGAGGGATGCATCGTGGGTTATCTTATTTGGTAATAGAAAGAACGTCCTTGTGTGGATTTACTTCGAAAGCGACAGGACAAACTTCAACTGCAAGATGCAAAGAAGTCTCGAATGGCGCAAACAGACTTCATAAAGAAAAATCAAGCCCCACGCCCGCGAATCGAGTCACGCAACTTAGAGATCAGCAAAGCCATATGACCACCGCAACCGCACGATCGCAGGCCTGGCCGAACACCTCACCTAGCCTTGGCGGCTTCACACAAATGAGCTCCAGCCTCGTAGGGAGTAGAAGCCGCAATCAAACTAGGTTTGAAGGCCAGCATATAACTTTTCCCGCGTGTATTAATCTCAATGCGGTTGGTCAGGTTAGATATTCTTAGACCCCAAGTTTCTTCCCGCGCAACCAACCGTCTTGGGTTTGCCCGAGTCAGAACCACCAAAGCTCAAGACAGCTGGCAATCCGACCGCACGCAGGCAGAAAAAGTATAATTGGCCTGCGCCCCTTATTTGGCGTCGGGGGCGCCGTTGCGGACTGCAGCGCGTGCTGTAACTCTCATGACGAGAATGCCGACCAGTTTTCTGTAGAGCGAATAGCCATTCTCAGTAGACTGACAACTAGAGACGCTACGGCTAAGCTTTGCGTCTAATATACACGCGCTGAAACTCTCTGCTGGGTTACTAAGTCGACTTAAGAGCTCTTTAGGGTTTGGTTGTAGATACCAAGCGAGATCTCGAGCAACACTTGCCTATTCGTTACCCTGCCACGGTATAACTTTGAACAGCGAGGCTGGAGGCTGGAAGGCACAAGGCGAAGAAAGGTAACGGAGTCACCTGTCCGCCGATAGACAACTCTCTTGCGGGTTATTTCACTTGGACGATCAGTCTTGGCAAACAAACATGACAAACCTCATCACTTCTGTCGGCCGTCATGCAAGTGCCGCCGTCAGCAATACTCAACTCACGCAAAACTCTTGACCATCGTCATGCTCTGAATCTGTGTAATTACTCTTTGACTCGTACCCGGTTATATACAAGCATACACAAACCGCGCGTTTAAGAAAACCGTCACCGACCCGCCAACCCAGGCCCGAGAAACGCGAGCAAAATAGCAAACGTGTAGAGTGAACACCAGTCGTTCCACAGAGGCAAAAATAAAAAATAAAAAAAGAACTGGGTAACCAAGTGTAAAAGGACCGTCTGACAGCTTCAAGGAAAATATGCTTTTTTGAACCGGTTTGACTCCGTTGAAAGTTTGTGTGTGGGTTGTTCCGCGCCGAGCCTGATGAATCTATTTCGTTCCGTCTCTTGAATGTTGACCGCTTCCCGTTTACATGGTGGGGATGCCCTCGTATTCCGCGTAGCCAAGAGCGAGGTTCATGTTTTCTAGGCCAGGTGTTAGTAGAGCTCTCGAAAAGCAAATCGGGGAAGACTTACGCAGGCACTGGGTGGCGGCACCCTTGAGCAGGTTGTCAATGGTGGAGCAGACGACGACGCGCTTGCCGCTGCTGTGGACAGCGAAACCGCCGATCTCGACACCGTGCTTGTTCATGATGTTCCTGACCAAGGGGGGCTCGCCGACGACCTTGACGAGCTTCTCACCGGCGTAGCGGTCCTGGTAGATCTGGCGGATGTCACGAGAGGTAAACGTCTTGTTAAGCGGGATGTGGATCGTGGCCTGGATGCCGCGGAACCAAGAGGCGACGTGAGGGGAGAAGGCGACCTCGGCACCGAGCTTGGAGCTGATCTCACGCTCGTGAATGTGGTCCGTCAAACTGTATGGCATCAGATTGTCCCTGAGCATGTTGATGTCGTTCTTGGGGGAGGGCTTGGTGCCAGCGCCAGAGTAGCCGGAGATACCAAAGACGGAGGGGGCACCGCCGAGGTACTCGACCAGGGGAGCAATGCCAAGCTGGGCAGCAGTGGCGTAGCAGCCAGGGTTGGAGATCTTATCAGCCTTGTAGATCTCAGAGCGCTTGGTGAGCTCGGGAAGACCGTAGGTCCAGGTGTTGTCGAAGCGGTAGTCAGCGGACAGGTCGACAATGACGCTGCGGTGGTCAGCACCGCCCTTGCGAGCCTCCTCAATGGCCTCGATGTAGGGCTTGCAGACACCGTTAGGGAGAGCCATGACCCAGCAGTCAATGGCACCCTTCTTCTCGAGCTCGGTGACCTGGTCGGGGCTCAGGTTCTCGTAGGTGATCTCTCTCTTGGTGTATCCCTCGAGCTTCTTTCCAGCAAGCTCACGAGAGGAGACGTGTCTGAGGTCCATGTTGGGGTGGGAGTTGATGAGGTCGATGAGAGCCTGGCCGGTGTAGCCACGGGCACCAATCAGCGCAACGCGTGAGGGAACGTCGTTAGAGGCGTTCTTCTTTCCCAGGGGAGGGTTAGGGTTGGTGGTGGTGGCGTAGGTGCGCTTGCCGTTGAGACGGGCGGCGGCCGGGGCCCACTGAGGACGGCGGGCCATGGTGGAGAATGCGCGAGCCTGAGCGGGCTGGCTGGACTGAGACAGGTTGCGGTTGGAAACCTGGGCGGCGCGGCGCAGACGGGCCTCGAGGTTGGAGTCGCCGAGCATGGCTCTTCCGTGGGCGTTGAACTCGTCGGTGAGGACACCCAGCTCCTGGAGGTTGTCGATGCCGTACCAGAACAGCTGGTTGCCCTTGCTGGAGAAGCTGCCGTCCGCCTTGTCGAAGAACCAGGTAAGGTTCTCGTCCTCCTCGCTGACGGTCCAGACGAGCTTAGGGTGATCCTTCTTGATGGCGTGGAAGACGTTCTCGGTGACGTTGCTGAGCCAGCCCTCCTTGGTGACGGTCAGGGTGGCGAGGGTCGGGTGAGAGCGCTCGGCGTTGGGGGGCAGGACGATGGCGAGGCAGTTGAGGGGCTCGTCGTAGTAAGCCTTGAAGGGAGTGCCCTTGAGGAACTCGATGTAGCGGTCGACGGTAGCCTCGGCATCCATACCCTCCCTGTCACGGATGAGGGTCTGCTTCAGCTTGGCAAGGTCGGGGAATGCAGCGATGCTGTCGGCAGACTCAATCTTGTCGCCGCGGCGGATCAGGGTACCGGCACCGGAATCGGTGAACAGCTCCTTCTGCAAATCACTAGGGTGGATGATGGCAACGCTCGAGGTTCTTGGCAGAGTCTCCAAAAGCTCCTTGATCTCCTTGATCTTGAGGCGCGTACCGTAGCGGCACCAAGACTGAGACATGAGATGGTCGTACTCCTCGTCGAGGTTGATGTGGGAGATCTTGTCGCCAGTCTCGCCGTTGAACAGGCCGCCCTTCTCAGAGAGGTAGACGATCTTGAGGGGCTCAAGCGCGCGGGCAAGCTCGGCGGCGGCGACGTCGGCGTTGACGTTGAGGATCTGGCCCTCGGTGGTCTCAGCCATTGAGGTGAGGATAGGAACGTAGCCCTGCGAGATGGCGAGCTCGACGGGGGCCTTGTCGACGCTCGTGATCTTGCCAACCAGGTTCCACTTCTCCTTGTCGAGGTAGTCGGCCGTCAGGACGGTGGTCAGAGGACGGGTGCGGACACCGAGGCTCTCGAGCTTCTCGACGAGCTTCATGTTCTCCTGGAGGAACAGCTTGCGGGCGACGGTGAGGGTCTTGGGGTCGGTGACGCGGATGCCCTCCTCGAACTCGGGCTCGACGCCGGCCTCCTGGAGAAGGCGGTTGAGCTGGGGGCCGGCACCGTGGACGATGACGGGGTAGAGGCCGACCTCGTAGAGGAAGGCAATGTTCTCGCACAAGTCATCGAGGTAGTCGGTGAGGATGGCACCGCCAACCTTAATCACGGCGAACTTCTGGGAGGAGACCGAGGTGAAGTAGGAGAGGTATTGCTGGCCCTCGCGGCGGCTGCCGATCTGGCTCAGGGTCCTGATGATGATGGCTCGGGTGCGGTCGCGGTTGGCCTGCTCGGACTGGGAGCTGGTGCTGGACAGGGCGCGGATGGCATTGAGGCGCTGGAAAGGGTTGGCGCGGGCACCGGCGACGGCTTGACGCTGGCGGACGACGCGAGGAACGGCTCGACGGGCGCCGGCCCGGAAAACGGCAGAGGTTGCGGAGAGCATCGTGGCTACTGGGACTGGACGGCAAACAGGTCAGCCCATTCTGTGGCGGCGGCAGTGGTAAAGTTAGTGGTATGGAGGAGGGGTTTCTGCGCCGAGCCGATGTCGCGCACAACACCGCATTGGCAAGATGTGTGTTTTTTTCCCGCTCTCATTTTCCGGGAGTCAGAGGGCAGGACGCAGCTACACACCTCTTTCGAATTGGAACACCTCAAAACGTCGGTGGATTGGTCAGGCAGAGTATGACTTCACACTGGACTGTACACCTCAGCAGACCCGGACAAGCGAGCTACCACTCTCTTGTCTGTCTCTGTCTGTTTCTTGCTCTTTGGCGGGCCAGCTGGATTCGATAGCTGGTCAATTGGCGACGCCAACGAGGGAACAACAGGCTCAATTGGCAGCCCGGGGCAGAAAAGACGAGTTGCGGACGGGGGAGAGCAAGCAAAGAGGGACTATGTTCGAGGAGCGGGAGGGGAGAAGGGCAGGAGTCGGGAGCAGCAGCGAGGCTTTTTACTTTTTGAGGCCTGCGAGACTATGACTGGACTGGACGTCGTGGTGGGCGGGTGGATGGTGGGCTGCTGCTAGTGTTGCTGCTTGCTGTGGTGGGCAGGCCGGTGAGTGTGGGCACTTTGGCCTGCGTACAGTATGATGCAGTGGAGGTGTGGAGGAGGGGCAGGGGGGGCTCCGAGCGCGCGAGCACTGCACCTGCGCTCACAGCCCGTAAGAAAAAAAAAATTGACCGAAACCGCTCACAGGCGGCAGGTCCGCGCCCTTTCTGCACCTCACCTCTGCTGCTGCAGCTGTCTGTCGCCGGGTAAGGTACTTGCGCACTGTGACCAGGGCGGTGTGGGTGACTGCCAGAGTGGGCTGTGGCACACTGTGGCCCCCCTCCTCCTCCCTCCTCCCCCCTCCCCTCAGTGTCCAGCGTGGTGTCTCCTCCCCTCCAAGTGTGGCTCCTCGCCCGCCCAGCGCAGCCTCTCATTGCTCTGCCCTGTGGCTCCGTCGGCCAATTGGGTCGACAGTCCGGTTATTGATCGGATCTGATAAGGAATCTGCCGGTACGTACCCATCACCAAGTCCTGTGGGAGGAACGTTGAAGACACTAAAAGAGGCAGCATCTGCGGCAGTTGCCCTGGTAAAGCAATTACTTGAAAATTTTCATCTTGCCCGGTGGGGAAGGAGGCACACAAGAAGAAGCACGCAAGCTCGAGCCGAGGCAGCCACGACGTCGCAACCTTCCAAGAATCGATAAGAGCAATACCTCGCAACACACCCCAAGGTAACTGAGATGATGAGATGATCAGAGGCTCGTAGGCGATGAGGTTGAAAATAACTACGCGACCACATAAAAGACTCCCAACCTTGACATGGAGAAACGCAACAGTAGCATCAGTACCAGCAACAACCTGCCCGTCCCTCTGGTCCGTCTGTTCCCAGGAACCGGTGGGAACCTGCAAACAGCGGAAATGCAACTTTAAACGCCTCCTCGGTTCCGTAGCCAAGCTCTTGCAACGCCGACGGAACGGCGATCCCCTCCGAGCTTTGATGAGACGAACCTGACCCTGAACCCCCGGAACGCCGACCGCCCGTTAAGCTTGCATTCGATACACCGCTCGACATCGTGGATCCGGTCCCCTCTTCCAAGGATACTATTCTGCGTAGTGCCTCCCTTGTGTGATTCCGTTCGTCCACACTGCATATGCCCATCGGCTGTCCTGCCGATGACTTTGGGCCACGACGTTTCAGGACCCCGTCTCATTCGGCCAAGACACCCTTGAACACTGGAGAAAAAAGACAAGTTCCCTCTTGAGCACGTTGTTCGGCTGCACGTCTACACACCCCCCTCCATCTCGGACTACCTCCATATACGACGTAATGGAAATTAAGGCGCATATGGGTATCCGTATCGACCGTGAATCATAGACTCGGGGACCGACTGCACCGCGCCCGTTGTAGATCACTTTGTAGATGCTCCCATAAGGTGCGTAGGTTCGTCACACGATGTGGAAGATGTCGATGCATTCTCTCGCGGACTGCTTTGCAAAGAGCTTCTTTCGCGTTCTTGGACATGTCACTATCTCGAGATGCTAAAATACAGACACGGGATATATGCTCTCGCACTTCGTGCTACGGAGCATCATCCTCCGAGTCCCGCCCCGAAGTGTGTCTAGCAAATGCAGATTAGCTGCAGGGCATCACCGAAGATAATCTACAGGTTCTTCACGAAGAGCCGAAACAGACACATATTCAGGGCCATTTAAGAATTCAATTACGCAAACGCCTGCCATCCCTCATACATACATGCGGTCGATCCGCAGCCGAACTGACCGGGCCGACTGCACCGGAGCGGGTTCCGTAGCCGGCCGACGGCCTCTTGCATGCAGACCATCGAAGAAGATCGGAGTCCGTCTCGAACAACCTCCGCCCCTTTCCCAAGTCATTATCCCATAGAGTTGGCCCTGTGTGCCGACTCTTCCCCTAGTCTCCCACGGTTGCTCGAAGCCTGCGAGATATCTGACATTTCATTCCATATCATGAGGACGGACCATAACCATGGACCCAGGGGGTCGTGTGATGCAAAAATGGTGGTATCTAGTTACTTGCGGGTAGCAACAACTGGGCGGGTAAGTTAGCGGGTTGCAACGACTACATTGCAAAACCAAGATTAGAGCCGGACGAGACTTAAGAAATGCGAACCATCCAAAGGAAAGGCGCACTGGGAGGGGGGAAACGCACCCGCTGGAATGACAATGATGAGGATAAGGATGATGATGCCGGCAATCAAGCACATGCGCATCTTGACGTCCTTCCACCACATCTGCTTGCGGACGCGGTTGGCGCCCCGACGGAAGCCCTGGGCCGAGACAGCCAGGTTGTCGGTCTTATCTTGCAGAGCATCAAGACGCTCGCCTCTTTGGGAGACCTTGTTGATGTTCTCACGCATCACGCCGACGGTGTCGTCGATTTGCTATAAATAGAAACGTCAGCACATGACTCTGGTGACACGGTTACGGGCGCGCAGTTAGCGAAACGGATCCGGCCCCTGATTGCGACGCCGACGACGGAAACACGCGAGAATCGGGTTTTCGAGCGGCGGATGACGGAGAGAATTGTCGTCTGGTTCCACGAAGACCGCTGATGGAATCCGGTCGATGCAGTCTTCGTTGTTGCCGTCGCGGTCGCTAATGTCGTCACCAGGCTGAAAGACTGGACACCCGCGTAGCCAGACAGGGGCTGATTTTTTCCCGTCGCGATAGCAAGCCCAACAGCGACCGTACCTCGTTCCTCTGTCAATCGCCGCCATTATTGCCGTGGTCATCGCGAACAGCGGGTTGTGCCGGTGAATTGTTGTGATGACCCAATCAGGCGTCATCGGCGACATGTTCAATCGGGCGGGTAGCTCGGTCGGGTCGTCGTCATCAGGCGTCGGACAATCCGGGGCAACCAACGATCCAGTCCATCGAGAGAAAAGCGAAGCTCGGTCAAGAAAAGCATCGCAACTTACAGCCTGCAAAGCCTGCGTCCTCGCATTGCCGCCAGCTCCTTGCTGTTGCGCGCCGCCGGCGGCCTGGCCGCTGGGGATGTAGGGGTCGTAGGGGGCGTCTTCGGGCATTGTCGCTGTGGTGACGGAGGTGCGAGAGAGGTGTGCGGAAGAGGGTCGACGCGGCAAGCGGGTCGATTAAAATATGTTTCGGAGTTGCGAGATGCAAGATTTAGAATTCGGTGATGGCCGGGAGTTTGTTGCTCGAGGCAGATGAGGGTCGGTAGCAGTAGTTTGGTAGGCGGTCGAAGGTGTAGTGTGGTTGGAAAAAAAGAGGAGAAAGGATGGGTGGTTGGCGGGCGTGGGAGGTTGATGAGGTGGTTAAGTTCAGGTGATGAGACGTCTTGGAAAAGAGGCGAGAGCCCGGCCGAAACAAGGTGTCCGTCTGAGGATTTGGGGGAGGGATGCGCAGTGGCACAGCGCTTGAGGACGAGGTGCCTGCTGAGGGTGCTGGGAGGGGGGGCCGGAAGGAGGGAAGCTGCTGGCAAGCCAACTGGGCCACTAATTTTAGTTGAGCTGGGAACGCCCAGCCACTGCGACAAACCTCCCTCCTCCAGCCGGGCTGGCGATGGATGAGTGAGTGATTGTCTCTAAGGTTAGGTTGCTCGCTCTTGATTCCGACAGGACATGTCATCCCGAGTTTACTTTGCTGTTCATTGCCATGTTTCCCCCTTGCCTGCGGTTTCCTGCCGCTCTCTGGGTTTATCGCCTCGTTGTTTTTGTCCCCTTTATCGCCGCCTTTGGGATGCGCCGTGATGGGGAATACTGCCTTCCCTTGCCCACGAATACCCGGTCTCTTATTCAGACCCAGAGCACCGGAGCGAAACAGAAACCACAGCGCGGCAGCTTCAGCACGGCCACTGTTGGAGACCTGAGTGGGAGTGGACGGGACTGGGGGACGGCGCTCGCTGGAGCGGCGCCTGAGGGCCAATCATGACCGGCGTTTCGAGCAAATCACACACGGGCAGTGCGGTACGTATCGCTCTGCAGCGACCTCCAACCCCCGTCCGGTGCCTGGGGAACCCGGAAAAAGTGGACAACACGAAGTCGTGAACACTGAACGCAGTGGCTCGTCGCCTTTAACTCAAAAGTGTGCCCGACTTTCCATAAACATGACAAAGGCGCTGCGATGGATGTTCCCTGGACCAAACAATCTGGAAGCGTGTCTCCGGGACAGCACAGCCATTTCCTCGTCATCTCTGCAACACAATCCGATGCCCGGCACGGCGACGCCTTGAGGTCGCAGTCTGTCAATGAGTGTCTGGTCGCTGGTCACGCATCCCTCATGCCAGGGACCACCATTTCCATGGTTACCTTGCCTTCCCTGCTTTGCTTACCTCCGTATGGATACGAACAATACAGCACTGGATGATCGGACCCTGCCCTGCCTGCCAGCCAGCCTGGTGCCTCTTTTCCATCGCCTTCGCCGGTCGCCGTCTCCATCCGCCTCAATCGTATGCCTCGCGCGTATTGATTTGGGCTGAGGAGGGCCGGGCAGCTAGGAAAGCTGTGCAGGAAGGAGGCGTTTTCACCAACCAATGCCGTAGACTCGCGGCTTCTGATGTAATCGTCGAGGCGGTGCTGCGCATTCGTCACTGCTGCTGGATGGGACCTGGACCCCGACGGAGCTGAATTGGCCCGGAGACTTGGCCCCTTCCCGTCAAGATCCTTCATGCCCGGCGGCTGGGACCAGACGACGGCTCACTTCGATGCACGTGAAAGCCTTTCACGTGATTACAAAGTCCGGGTCTCTGCCCGAAGCTTACCCGGGCGAGGGACTGACAGCCACAGACCCGCTTTCCATGCGGCGCAGCTCTGTGGCTTTGCCCTTGCTTGGAATCCTCTTGGCCACCGCCATTCACTTCCAACAGCCATTGGATTCCATCAGCGTTTGAACGCGCGGGCTTCTGTTTGGTGGCCACGAATGCAACATATCTTCATCTGCCCCTGATCGACGGGAGTCTGTCTTGCGAGATTCAGGCCCCTCGGTTGATCTGCTCTCAACGTTCAGACCCTGGCCGCGCAATCACTCTTTGCGGTGCTCAACCGCCGCTCAAGGAAAGCACCGGTCAAGTCGGCCAACGTCGTTGAACTCGACGTTGCCTCTGTCGGACACGGAGCGTTTTCCGTTGAGAACTGAAAAAAGACCATTTGCCTCCGTCGCACGTTGTCAGCATTCGTCAAGGCACCTCGAAGCAGGAGCAGCAATGCGAACAGCCACGTCGACATACGTTGCAACGAAGGCGCACCCTGCGATTCGCAACCACACAATCTTCTCAGCCTGACCACAGCGAGGTTGTTGCTCAAAGGCTCGATTCCAGAGATACACGGCTGAAGCACTCTGCAAGCGTTAGGCTGTTTTGCAACTCCCTCCATTCGCCCTGAACTGTTACAACACGGTTTCATCGGCTTTCAAGTCGAATGTCGTTGGACGATGGAAATCTCGTTTTTGACCGTTTGCAGAAGCCAACGAGGCCGATCAGGTCAATCATGATTGTCCCATCAAGTCACTTTTCGAGGAATGGAGCCCTCCGAGAACAATTTGCGCCTCCCACACACAGCAATGTCGCAAGATGAGGTTCAATGCCAGAGCCCCTGGCGATGACAAAGCCGCCCCGTATCTAGATGCCCCGCTGGCATTCCGTTTCTCTGTTGCCTGGGCCGACGGCCGTGCTGCATTCCTTAAAAGATGCTTATTCGAGATTAGCATTGCACTCACCATGCAAAAGCCTTACTCACGGCCACCCTCACGAACGGTGGACTCGTGGTTTCGTTGTTTTTGGCCCCTCTGTTACGGGTGGTCGGGGGTTGACACCACAGGAATGGGGGCGGATAGCTGGTACTTGACTTGACCGTTCACGAGTATGAGCCTACCCGCTCGCACCAGCGCTAAAGCGTTACGAGCTGAGAGCGGCTAGAGATAAACGGACCTGTCGATGTCGATGCGCCGCTAATCGGCCGAGTAGCGTGTTTGGTTGTTTTCTCAGGACATCATCGTCTTGATCGCACATGCTGCCGACAACGACGAAGATGGAAGTCTAAGGTCCCCGTCCGCAGCGGAAAATCTTGGCCAACGCTCAACTTTCCCCGCTCGTTTTACCGCTCGACGTTCTCGTCCCTTGGCGATGATGAGCATGCTGGCTGCAATACGACGGCACGGCAAAGGCCTGGACGTTTCGTTGGTTGTCGGGCTTGGCCGCCCTGCCCACTGTCGAGTCCGGGATCATCGGCACTGGGGCCTTGTCGCTGGCTGCCAGGCCCCCAGAGCCTGCTGATCACCGACGTCAACCAGTCCAGTTTTTATTCAAGCTGGATTCCAAGCGGCTTTCCAACAAACACTACGACCGCACCGCACTGCACTGGTGACAGGACGGGGTCGCAGCGCAGAGCTGAGAAGACGGTCGGGCAGACGCTTCGAGCCACAAGTCGATTCAGCTCGAGCATCTCCCTCTCTGCCTGTCACGGCCAAACTCAGACAATAGAAGCCATGGCTTCGACAGACTACAGACGAACCCCAGGTTTGTCTGACATGAGAAAATTGGCGGGAAGGGCAGAGCTGGACGCATCAATAATCAATCAGTGTTTCTTACAGGGCAGAAGACAGCCAGCGGGACCCGAAAACGTCACCGCATCACCTTACGTTGTGCAGGCTGGGGGATGCCAGCGACAAGTCAGCAGGGGACAGCACCAAGCTCATGGGATGACAAGGGCTCGGACTGCAGCCGGCTGGGGACATGATGAGATGGTGCACCACCACATGCACGCCGAACAAGCTTAGCTGCCAATGCCAACGCTAGAAGCAGAAACAAGCAAGGAAGGCGGCCAAAGCCCAGGGCGGACCAGACGGCAGGCGGGAGTGATGCAAAAAAGATGGGATCATAACACAACACGCATAACACTACGCAGCCCAGCGGCGGCGAGGAGTGTGAGACAGCTACCTTTACGGCTGGAAGGGGGCCAGTCTTGCTATTCAACTGGTTGCGCGCTTTCTCCTGACTGATTTCCCCAGTCTTACCAGTCCCGAAATGCTCTCGTTTCCCATGCCTGTGTTTCTGTTTAGCTCTGTCTCTGGCCTATTTGTTTTCCCCCGTTTCAGTCTGCGAGAAACGGAGGCAAATCTCGTTTTTGGTCTTTGTATTCGTACATACATACTTATGTACCTACAATTAACCCTTTACTCGTATTGATGCTTCTCCGAAGACGAAGCTATTAGTGGACCTCCGCCGCTCACCTTCTCTTGCATGGTCTCTTGACTGGCCTCGTTCCGTTCCCTCGATCGCTCCTGACCAAGCAGCTCGTATTTACCCTTGGGGGGCAGCCACTCGTTTTCCTCTTTGCAGTTGCACACCACACCTTTCTTTCGTCGGGTGGAAAAGTAACCCGGTGGAGGCCAGCGCAAGTCC